AATTGTTGGTGTTGGTCAATTAAAGAAGAGCTAATGTGATCATTAACCAAAAATATGAAGCCATCATTCAACAGTGAGGTAGATTATTCACACGTATCGATCAATTGTCAAGCAAGTGGAGGGCTGATGATTTGGGCTTGTTTTGCAGCAGCAGAACCTGAACACCTTGCCGTCTGGGAGTAAGCCTTGAATTGCCAAAATATTCTAGTCATTTTGATCATGAATGGATAAGAGAAAATTCGTTTTTTTCAAATTCCTTTTTAACACATTAAGTTTTTGCTATAGTTACTTTTTTATTTACCACAAAGTAAAATATGGTGTCCTGTAATGTGACTCCTTGCACTTGCACTACATTTAGTTTGCTGAGATCTGGTCACCTTACTTTTAATGGTTGTAGCAGATCTACAGGATTCTGTTCACTGTTTTGGCTCTTAAATAGTTGATTATCAACAATATTATGTACCAATAAATATAATTTTAAGCCAGTTAATGCAAAGATATTGAATTTTTTGATACGGCACTGTTTCCAAAAATGCTGAAAAATAACATAAACCTCTTGTTTGTTTTTATGACCTCTGTGTGTCTGTTTATGTCTGGCCTATTTCTTTTACAGAGCTTGGGGAGCTGCATGCTCCTGATGAAGTGGAAGTGTTACATTATGAATGGGGAGGTAGATAACTTACAATGCAATCAACACAGTGCAAACCTGAGATGTTCTCACATATCCACATAACAAAGCACACATGTGTGATAGCTCTCTGAGCAAAGGGAAAAGGCATTCTATCTTACTTTGTGCTCTGAAACTTTTGAGTGACTCTGTTCTCCAACGATGCCCGTATGTCTGTTTTCTGTTAAAAAAAATAATGACGATTAATGTAATATTTTTTTGAACGTGTATATGATTCAATTTACAAATTGATCACAATGAAGACTGTGTGAAAAATAGTCATTAATTGTTAAAAATATGCGACTTAACAAAAATATAGCAATAAATATTTATGATGTCACAAGGCTGATAAATCATCTGTCCATCAGAGTTTCTCAAAGTTAAGCTCAATGTGACTTTGTGGCACATTAACAGAAGATGCTGCCTCTGCTTATTCATTTGCATAAGCTGCACACGGTAGATTTTAGTTGCACCTTAATTTGCATATTGCTGAGCAGCGTCCCACTGTTTAACAGCTGGTTATATTGCCATCCCCAGCCCACCTCCCCCACATAGCTCTGCCTGGGAATGGGTGGGAGGGCATCTGGTGGAGCTCGGCACAGGTAACTGAGGTCACCTGTGGCCTCAGGTGATGTGGCACCCACACCGATGTACCGGGTAAAGTAATTGGATCTTGGCCTATAGTCTCCGATTCCATCTGGACCTGGTGAGTGGATAAAGCAGGTAAAAAAAATAAAAAATACAAACAAACTCAAAGCTTTTATTCACAGCTTTAATAAACTTAAGTACCATAAAAATGTAGTCTATATTCAACTTAAGGCGATTTAATAAATATTATTATATTATACACAAACACAGACAGGCACAAATAGTCCGTTTGGTTCAGGTTACAGTGCCATCATGTGTCCAGTTGCAGCTATATTTGCTTGGACATGCACCATTTCCTTGAATATTTAATAATTGATCAACCATGGTGTGCAGTTTAAAGCACAATTACAGGAAACTGGGTTACAGTTATCTGGCAGCAAATACTTTCTTATTAATTCCAACACACTCACACTCATAAAGTATTATAGATATGGCAGTAGAGACATTGCTTCAGCTCTAATTTTAACTTCATAATTTGATCCCCCCAGAACTTTAGTGAGTTGAAGAAACGAATAAAAGCATCTTCTCTGCATACATCGGCCTACCTGTAAAAATCATCCTCTGTCCATACTGTGGCTGTCCTGCAGTTGTTTCACTGCTTTGCATCATTTCTCTTCCTGTTATGTTTGGACTAGTTGCAGACTAGATACACCTAGATAATGACCACCCATGGGTGATAACATGAGCCCAGCAGTCTGCTCTGTCCTCAGGGCCATGGCTGGTTGTCATGGAATCATTACTTGTATCCTAGTTACAGCCTAAAAGCAGATTATACTTTAAGTGTTGAACTATGCCCATTCACCCCTTTATTTATATGAAGTATTTATGTATTTATTTATGTCAAGTCCTGTAAAATTAAGTAAAATATATCCTGTAACTGGTTATAAGTAAATTAATTGTTATTTATTAAGTACATTAAAAATCAGCTTTCCATTTGGTGCATAATAAAAACAAAACCTTGTTGATGAAGCAGTGAAATACAAAATGAAAAGAGAATAGTTATCAAGCACATAGCAACCATGCAAACAGCAGAGATAAACAAACTACAAATAACAGAGTGAAAAAACAATTACACAATGAAATGAAATGAATGAATGAATGAATAAATAAATAAATGTATTCATTTATTCGGAAACTCCATGAAACTACCAACCATGAATGCAAAAATAACAGGGTATTAAGAGTGGACTTGAAAAAGTCTTTACAGTTTGATTTAATATAAAAAGAAAAACTGTTTCAGAATCTTTGTAAAGCAAATGAAAAAGTCCACTCCATGTGAGCGGGGAACTGAAAAAGAGCAGATAATAATCTAAGTTACACCAAGGCAGAAAAGTTTTGTAAAGCTTAAATGTTAATGGCTTACTAATCTAACCACCTCAAGCCAGAATCTTGAAAAAGCTTGACCCCAATGTACAAGGAGTTACAGTAATCCAATTGTAAAGCATAAAAACCACTTTCCTCAGACTATTAACAGAGCGAAGGAACTCTTAAGGAAACTTTTCACAATTCATTGATCAAGGCAGCTAAACATCCTTGTTGGTGAACAAAGACAGTCTGCTGTAAATGAGAGGTAAAACTATGTTTCATCAGCATAACACTGATGACATATTATATTTTTCAAAGATGGATACAAAGGGGAGGAAATGGAAAATATAAAAGTGGCCCCAACACAGACCCCTTGGGGGGTCTGTGTTGGGGCCACGTCGCTAGCAGAGCAGAATGCTGGGGGATAACACATTTAATAGGGTAAGATGTCCCATCTGACACTGGAGTACAACCATAACCTGTAGATCAGCTTTGGCCTGAAATTGACAAAAAAAAAAAAAGTTTTGTCTTCTGCATTTTGGTCTAAACAAGACTTTAATTTTGAAGGATGTTGGAGTGAATAACCTAGGTAGCAACTCAGACTGTCTTCAGGGTGTGTGCTAGGTTTCTTCAATAAGGGTGGCACAGCTGCTTGTTTAAAACAGGAAGGAAACACTGCATTGATTAAATAGCAATGACTTATACGCCAAGGTTCATATTTTCGTATTTTCTCACAGCTGTAATCCCTCATTGAGTCACTTGATGGAGCCAAAGCATAATTTTTGCCACATTACGCCCTCCGTTCCCTTTTTTGTTAAATGGACTCGCCCATGATTAGCCGCCTCCTTGTGACAATAATCTCTGTCAAGTGAAATACAACAACAGCCAGACAGGAAATGCCACGGTGCTCCCTTCAAAACAGAACAGCATGATTTCTTAACCAAAGCGGACTTATAGGGAAAATAATAACCTTGAATCAAAAACCTGCACGTTTACAGAAGAAACTAAAACATTTCTCTATAACAGCTTACTATATATTATATAGGTGGACTCGACTGATTGTCTTTCTTTAAAAACGGTCATAAACAAAGGTAATTTTTGCATTGAAGCCTTGCATAAAAGAGGGGAAAATGACGCAAAACACACCCAAATGCATATTTATTTATGTATATTTTGCCTAAAATTTCCACAGCCTTCATTGTCTTTTTATTAGCATCATTTAGGGGTATTATTTTGAAAGGTTATAAGTAACATCCACTGGTAACTCCGCTGGTCTTTATGCTCTCAGTATGTCAGTCACCATGGTGGCATACAACAGAGCAGAGCGGCGGCGGCTCTATCTTCACTTTTAGCTCCATCAAAATGCAAACATAGTAGATTTTCTCAGTGAGAGGACGGGAGTCTTCCTCTGATAATGGGCGTGAGCTGGTTGCTGACGGGTTAGCCGCTTGCTATTTCCTCACTTTTTTGTTTGCTGGATCCTTACATGGAATTTCTCCCCCGTCGCTAGCAGAGCAGAATGCTGAAGAGACAAGGAATGGCTTTAATGAACGCTGGCTTGAATAAAGGGACAACACTTTCTACGCTAAGAAAATAACTCTTAAGAGGGGGAGTTTGACCGGCGCTTTTAAAGGAAGTTTCCTCCCCGGTGGGGACCGGTGTTGGCAGCCGGATTCGGCACGGGCAGCAGAAAGACAGACACCCTGAGGAGACTGCTCGGCTGTCTGGCTCCAGTCGTGGCCTGGCTCAGGGCACTCCCAGCTTACCCGCTAGCATCTGAGCACAGGCGACGAGAATAAAGCAAGACAATAGGGGGACTTGTTTTGTATATATCCTGCCCCTGGATAGAGGTAATTTTAAGGATAAGGAATTCCACATCCTCAAGACGGCTTCTTCCAAAACAATGGCGTCTTACGTGGATAACAGCTTTCGGCAGGCTGTGATGAAGAATCCGGCTGAACGGACGCAACAGGTCAGAAGAAATTATTCATTGCATGTTGTTGCTAATTGGATTTTCATGGAAATTAGTGGCCTCCGCCGTTTTTTGTCACTTTGTTGCTACATTTTAGCATTGCAACATTTTAAAGTGTAACAGCTAAACAGTGTTTCTGAGTGCAACTGTTGCCATTCAGCTCGTCTCAGCGGCTACATCCCGCTAAGCCCTCTATCAGCAGAGATAATCAAGGCTACTTAATGTAACAGGAGCTGCGGCCATTGGTGGAACTCTAACCCGCCTGTGGCGTGTAGCATCGCTCTGTGTATTGTGGTTTTACATCTCCGCACGTCGCAAACATCGTCTCTTGCAAAACTGATTTTTTTTTTTGCATGCAACAAAATCCAAATAATAAGGGTGGCAGAGATATATGTAAGGGGTTTAAAAGAGAATAACACAAAGGAGACAAAGAAAAGGGCAAGGGAGCCCAGAGGAAATCAGTTTGATCAGAAATGAATAGGACGTAGAAAATCTGTGATTGGGCGGAAAGTCAGGCTCGTGGACAGCACACAGCCCTGATGCAGATGGTGCACATGAAAAGTTTAAACAATGTTACAGTAGGGGAAGGAAGTATTCAGACTAAGAACATGTGTAAAATGCATAATCCTGTACCGTAATATTACAAAGGTTTAGCCTTAAAATAGTAAATAAAACATGTTTGTGCTGAATCATATACACTTTTTTAAATTGATGCATTAATGCGTAAATCTCACTAACATTGCAGGTGGAGATGCAGCATTAGTGACTAGCATTACTGCTTGGAAGCTCTATAATAATAATTTAAAAAACACCAACATGGTATAGTAATAGATTTATTTTTGAAATGAACGAAAGATGCATCCAAACTAACTTACATATACTTAAGTGAGATGGAAGTACATTGAGGGCCAGTGCCGCCCCATGCCTACTCTCCAGGCACATCCCTGTATGAAAGTCAAGGACAAGAGGCTAATCCACAGATAGCGCGTGGACTATACTGGGCTGTAAATTTGGACATTACCCCGGTTTATGGTAGACGTTGACAGACTAATGCTTCTGATGACTATCCTACAGGTTACTTTTGATACCGCTTCACCGACTAGTAGTAGTGGTCCATTAATGTTTTGTCATACAGTTTCTGTGGTGGGAATGGACAGACATTGGTGCTTTTCTTGTCCTGCAGTTAAAATCGGGAGGAAAAAATCTCCCAAACAGTTCCCTGCTACTTGTGTCTAAAGCTCAGTACTGTTATTTCTTTGTCCTACCTCTGAGAAGTTTGTAGTGCAATCCATATCCTGCCTGAACATGCAAATTCTGTGGGCTGTGGCTGTGACCCTTTAAGCTGCACATGCTTGTACACACCCAGGCTGGTAAGGTATCAGATATAGGACGTTATGCTTTGCATTTTTGCAGAGATCAAATATAAATCCAGTTTGGCTGTGAAGCTGAAATCATTTCATTTGAGCCGTCTCCACGGCTCCGGTGCCAAAAGCTTTACACATAATGGACAATCAATAGTCCATCACTTGAACCAGAGAGCTACAGTTAGTGGCACAGCCTCTGCCCATGTCTGTCTGACATTAAGGAAACAATTATGGTGTCATTGGTGTCACATTAACCGCCCTAGGCTCATGGTCTTTACAGCTTTATGCAAGTTGTAATTTGTATGGGTGACAGATGCCAACACGGTGATGGAAACTGGATAAAGAATTTGGCTTGTCTCACCAGCAGCTGTGCTCATCTAAGATTGGTTCGTTACCATTTAATGATAAGCATTTATTATTGATCAGTATATTTTGAATTAACTGTCTTGTCTTTAAAGAAACGCTTCACATTTTTGAGAAGCTTTAATTTAAAAATTTGTGTCAATCTATTTTTTTCTTCTGAAAAATTTCTCAGGAAACGAAAACAAAAACATTTTTCCTAGATCTGGCATCCTCTCAAGATCTATGTCTAAAGCATAACCCGCCTCAACTTGCAACCCCACCTGTAAGAATTTACATCAGCGTAGCTTTATGGCCATCTCAAAGGGCTGTTTATGAGGCAGTCCTAACTTGCCAAGAGTATGTGAGAAGATATTAAGCACTTGGAATTTCTTGGCTTGAAAAGTGTCAGATTAAAATACTTTAATAAAATATGACCTTCTGGAAGACTCTGTAAAATGATAATAAAAAAAGAAATCAGTGGTATGGCTCTGGTCCTTGAGCACTTTGGAGCCACGGTATCAAATCATGCTGTGTAAGTATGCAAACATTTCATCCCACAGGGCTTTACTGTAGGAAGTCTCTGCACTTCTGAGTGAGTGAGTGACAGGTTGGAAGGAGGAAAATGC